AGCATTTTTTTATCTCATGTGAAATCACAGCAATCATGCTTGTGTACAATTGTCATTCCGTCGAGTTAACTATTTGAGAATTCAGGCGATCTTTTCAAATCGTTGGGATAAGAACTTCAAAGTGGAGGAGTCTATAGAAGAACAATACAATGGGGGGGGGGGTATTAATGTGAAATTACACGAGGATAAATTCATTTTAGCTGATACTTTTGAATAAATGTCTATTTCAAATATTTTTTTACAATGTACGGACTTTAGGTGCTTAGGTAAGACATCCTTTGGTTTGAAGTTAATATCAGCGCATCATGTCGATATTTGCATTGGTGTACTGAAATTAATTGAGAAATCCCCGAAACAAATCCAATGCGAAATTATACATTTTGGCTAAATGTTTGTTTACAAATGTGTACACTTGACAGAAAAAATTCAATAAACTGAATCACTTTTGCATTCCAATTTCGAAGCGGTGTAAAACTTTGGATAGATGTTTTCGCAAATGTTGTTGCACGATCTTCAAAACAATGGGAAACAGTTCCGAGGAGCAAATGGGGCGGGCGGGCGGTCGGGCGGGCGGTCCGGGGAGGAGAGAGGGAAGAGGATTACAAATGAATTTAGGAAACCACATTTGGTTATAATAGCTGTTTTTCTGAAGATACCCATTGCAACATTTGATAAAACACGAAATAGCAAACTATTCCCTTTTCGCTAACTTCATATTATGACGAATATAGTAATATCGACATGTAACAAGCATGTCAAATTTTTGTAACGTTCAATGTGGAGGAGGATTTCTATAACTGTATCAACCAAAATATGAAGTCATCCAAAACGAACTTGTTTGCTGTTTTGTTTTTTCTCAAACTATTTTCGCAGATTCCCAGAGTGTATAACATATCGCATAGCCTAAAACACGTTCCGGATATCCTATATTTTGTGAGGCTCACGTTATGCGTCGAGTAGAGTAGAAAGAATGTCGCATTAATAATTCAATAAACGTGCGCAGGATAAGTTCCAAAACAACTCAACTCCAACGAGGGAGATAAGATACTTTCAGTGCATACCAAGCGCGTTTTTTCGCGTCAGAAGGACATTTCATTCCCCAATTTACTCCATTTCCGATAGACCGATCACAATGCCGGAAAAACACAGTTGTTTAGATAGAGGCAATCTTTCCAAATGATCATTGTGTACGGTCGCTTATGTACGTGGTTAGTGATGATGGGCCGTACGGTAAAGAGTAAAGTTGAGACTGAGTGATGAGAAGAACTGTGAAATTATTTGAAGCGGTAGCAATATACTAACTAGAAAAAGCGAGGACTTGATTTGAAGTATTTTGGGGGGGATAAGTTAGGAGCGTATGAGATTCACTGCACAATTTCCGGGGTTGAAATTGCTCATCCAGGAATCACCACAATAGATTACATGTTGAACTCCAGACCCAAATGTGATTCATGACATATTATGCAAATAATAGGTCAGATTATATAACGTTGTTCATTTTTGTGAGGCTTTTGTGTATTTATTCTATTGAACAGTCCTCGATCATTTTGTGAGGGCTTGTTGAACTTAAGGAGCTTCAAGTAAATAGCCTTTCGAGTGCCAAAGGTTTTCAAGTTTGATGGTGGAACAATTTGTTGGTGATTTAGGAGAACCTGATTGCGTTCACTCCGTTCCTTTATAAACTGGTTATGTGTAAAACGTCCGCTACCAAATTAAAATTTAGTAATCAGAAACTCAAAATAGAAAAACAAAATCCATTGAGCACTGTTACTGTTAAATTGCTGTACAATGCAATGTTTCGACTATTGCACAAATGCCTCTACTGTAATTATTAAGTATTCAAACGGACGGAAATAAATGACCTCTCAAAGTATAAGGTTTACGTCATAAAAGCATAATACGAACATATGTATTGCCCGAAGTAAACGGAAATCAAACGAAACATTCAAAACTCTCAAATCTTTTAAAAGTAATTGTTTCTTTTTATGTAAAGATAAATTTCACTAAAGCCAGAAAGAAAAATGTATGAAATTATTAACCCATGGAGTTTAACTCCAACTGAAAGTCTTTTTTATGGCCCTCACAAAGACCTCAATGAAATTTTAAACTGAGATAATACCATTCATTGCACCATCACGAATGCCGACTGCAGCTACAGCTTTGAAGGCATGAGAAGAATAGACTACTCTGGTAACTGGTCTTGATTATAATCACCCATTGCTGAGTTATATTTCATTAGTAAGGAATAAAGCACTCAATCGGCAGAATATTCTACCTGATTGGACATAGCAACCGATCAGCATCTTCTTTCAGTCAACAGTATTCACATATTAACTTGCAGGTTCGATGCAACCGGACTGAGGGTAAACTCTCTAAAGGTCGAGGACAAACCAATCAACGTGCCTGTGGAACGGGTATGGATGAGCCGTTTTTTAAGTTAACACTCCACCCGATAGCACCTCGTCCTTGGAATTTTACCGACCGCATACCAATCCCATTTCCCTTTTTTATGTACGTTTACTGTGAGATGAAGCCGCTTAAAATTACAAACTTCCGTTACATTCGGATGGTAGGGTAGATATCTATCACAAATGATCACCCTTCGCATTTTCTGGAGTCCCACCATGTCCTGCCTAAAATAATTTTTTTACCTGTACATTCTTGTGACCGACAATATGTAAATGACAAATGTCCTCCCAGATTGATGATGGAAAATAAACACCGGGAAGAGAATAGCGATCTAAAGACAAATTAAGGCCTGGCAGCTGACCAATCTGTATTAACATGTGTGTGGGCTTTGCGCCAAATAAATAGGTAGGCAAAGCACACTTGTTCAACTTTTATGCTAAAAGCCTCCTTCCGCATCTGTCAGGTGGCTTAAATATATACTACAGACTGGAGAACTTGTTAGTCTCCTGTTCTCTTCATACAAATAGTCACAAACCGATTCACTGAACCAAGCCAAATAACGTTTATTTTATTGTGTAATTGTATCCACTTACTTGCACCAAGTTACCCAGATTCACACAGATTGAAATAACAAGTAACTCAGTTTTAAGCACATTTTCAAATCCTGGAATTTACTGTCCAATTTGTTTAAGTAAAAGGAAAAGATTAAAGCTGAAGTCACATTTTATATTCCATGGCACCCTATTACATGGGTTGAACTAAACGTTGCAACTAGAATATGCATTGTTTACTTTGTTATTACTTGAATCATTAGCGGCTCCATGCAGTTTGAAATTACATGGGACAATGCAGGATCTGACTGAAGATGGAAGAGAAGATAATGTCTGGTAGAATAATGAATAAACATTTTTAATACCAAATGTTATTTTAGTTTCTGTTTTGTTTACCGTGTTTCAGGTTCCAGGTTGCATCCATGCAAAGGCTGTTTGGGGAAATATATCAAATCGACGTTGATGTCAGGGTTCAAACTCAGAACCTCCGGGTCACACTATGTTGATACTTCTTGCCATTTGAACACTGCCGTAAAACAAAAAAGACTTATTGATAATATAAAAGTACTATTACGTGAAATAAAATCGAAAGGGAATAAAGTTCACTAAACCAAAAATAATATTTCAGATGATACAAAAGACTGAAACTCTCTTTTCGTGGTGAACACATTTTTCGTCTGGCTATCTGCATTCAAATCCAGTCTTGTTTTGTGGTGTTCGTGCAAGAACACGTCATCAAACAATGAATATTGTTTTTTTGGTTAATATCGGCTGCTGATATAGAAAATCGGGAACGTGACAGGTATTCGGGATATTTTCTTTGTGTGTGTATGTGTGTGAATTGATGCATCCGTCGTGCACCAATCTGGTGTAGCTTTCGATGCAAGTGGGCTGTGAATCCGATCCATTATTGAGCTCAGTTATCAGCATATCCCCCTTCTATCGTCGAACAGAACTGAAAGAAAATAGCATTCAGTACGCACGTGGTTGTTTCTGATACCATGCATACGACGGGATGTGCACATTGGCCGGGACGGAAGCCATCATTCCAGTGGGACAGATCGATCGTGTGCATTCAACCAAAGCCACAGACCAGATTGATTGGCACATGAATGAAGCACCAATTCCATTTGTTCACATAGTGGACACCGGTCCCTTCTCAAATGGGCAGATAGCACACAGGATATGGTTCAGTCACACATAAACTCGCTCAACGTCACATTCTGTAGAAAGTATCAAATCGAAAAAAATCACATGGAACAAGTAGGATTGCAGTAATTGCGCGTAAAAATCGAAATCCGACTATTCAGGAAATGAACCAAATACAAAACTGATGTGAAAAGCCATAAAAGATGAATCAGGAAACAAAATACCACTGAAATGCAGGTTTGTATCTCCACAACTAATAAATGACGAGCTATTCATTCTGTGACAAATAACAAGCGAGCAATTGAATGGCTCCTGGATTTCCAAATATTTTCCGCTATCTTCCGATAATAGCGTATTAGTTGTGTCTGTTTAAGTCACATCTCAACAATATACATGTATCTCAAGTATTTAACATGAATACTGTAAGCAATCAGTGTTCACGCTCTACACTGCCGTTGTTCATCGGTTAAGAAAGAAGTCTGAGCTCAAGATAACAAACATTTGTTTCTTTCAGATCAGTATAAATGAAAGAATTCCTATAATGACTGAAGGAATAAAGAATAATATGAAATTTGAAAGATAACGTTTTGAAAATTTCTCTCCCATTGACTGAAACACTTGCTAGTTTGATCCATCGGTACGTCTGGGTTGTGATTTATCCCACCGTTTCCGATTTTTGCCTGCACGTGATTTACATTTTCGTCGCCAATCTCATCCCGCCACCCGCACCCGCACCCCCGACCACACGCCACTGTCACGAACCAACCTGCAAATCACCAAATCTTGCTTGGTTCTAACACAATCGCATCAGGACCACCCCAATCGGGAAAGAACACGGTGTGTAAACAACTGCGAATCCATTTCGGCGACGGATTTCCGACAGCGACTCGGATGAGTCTGATCCCCATCATTCTGGCCAACCTTGCCGACGCGGTGGCTCTGGTACTGGAGAATATGAACAATTTACAGATCGATTTCGAAGATGCATCCGCTCGAGTGAGTCTGATATTATAACTGGCATAATATTTTGTCCGCCCTCAACGAACATTTTCTATCTGGTTTGCTAATAATTGTGCATAGAGTGTCATTTATTTTTTCTTAATGCACGAATTCCTCTTTAAATGTTTTGTTGATTTATCTTAAAAAATATTACCATTTTCGGTTCTACTTTCCTCCGACTTGAATTTCGTCCCTCAGATGTTCCAAAACTTGGTGTTCTGTTCTGGTGCAGAATGGATCCTCGGAAATAGTTTTTAAAAAGAAAACTTACTGATCGAAACATTCAAAGAACGTGTTTAATGACTGCATTTCTGTTCTAAAATCAGATTGTCACTGATGCAGTCTAACAACTCTTACCCATAGAGAGTTGCAATTTGTTTGAGTCGAGTATTGTCCACATACGGAAAGATA